CCAGACCCCCCGCACCCTGCATCCTGCCAGGGTGTGCAGGGACCCCCCTCTCCAGGCTCCAAACCCCACACACATACCCACAGCCCCCCACACCTTCACAAATAATGCCCCCCCTATACACACACACTTGAAAAATAGCATCTCATGATTTACATTCAAAATCTCTTGATTTTTACGAGTTTGTCTCATGATTTTTGACACAGTGGGGTTGGCAATACTGAGTGCTCTTACAGGATACCGTTAAACCATGAAATGTTAGGTGGTCTTAAAGTCAGAACAGCTTCAGAGTAGTCTCAAATTAATGCTTAATGTCATCTCCAACCAGAGGAACTGTTACTTGGCACTAGAGGGCCTAGAGAGCAGGGGCATGACCAGGAGCCAGGCTTCTATCCCTCCCTTGGGAGTGAAGCCCCAGGGGTTAACCACAGAGACAACATGGACCCCAGGGAAGCATACCTCACCAGGCTCTATGCTCTACCATGTTTTGTGCTAGGCAGCCCTTTCTTCCCTCCCACCCCAGGAATGCAGGAGGCTGGAGAGGGAAGCCATGTCCCCCTTGCCCAAATTCTCCTGGCTAGAGGACAGCTGTCCAGATTTGGGGAAAAGGCTTAGCCCTATCAGGGGACAACATATGCCTGGCTCCTGGCCAACAGGCCTGGATTGGGTCTCCTGGGGTCCTTGGATTTGGCAGTGTGGTGCTATGTAGGGGTGGGTGGGGGTGCTGGGGCCATTACTACCCCTTGGGCAGTAGAACTAGGAAGGGTGGACAATTTGTTAGGGATAAAGAGGCTCGGAGTCCTGCATCCTAGGATGCTGGATGACTGGAAATTGGTCACTTTATCTCTGTGGAGCAGAACAATACCCTAGATCCAGTTAGGTAGAACAGCTCAAAGATAACCCTCACCCTTAGTTACTTAGATGGTACTTGGCACAGTTGAACACCCTTTGATACATGCACACTCCTATTTAAGTGCCTTTAGAATGGTTTAGACTTCAGAGGTAACCTGTAACACCACCCTCACTTGCAAATAGTTTCTGCTGCTGCACTTCCCATGTCACTGAGGACCAGAGCTAGGAAGCCGGCAAAGGAATCTGAGCAGGGAATTTGTCCCAATGTTTGATTGTTTGTTTTTAGATCAAAATACACAGTGTATCGTTTGTAGACTAAAAATACCCATCTGGAGTTTGGACTACAGACTATAGGGGAATAGTTGTCTTGCGAATGTCATACCCTGCAGTTTGTGCTTTGCTTGTATGACTTGCACCCACATTTTGTGTTCACAGGAACTTCTGACATCAGTTCTGAAACATATTCAAACACCTTTGAGTAAGGGCCTTAAATCAAATATCATTCACTATATTTCTAATATAAGTGCTGGTTTGAGTTTTTATTTTCTCCTTTTAAGAAAACAAAACAAAACAAAATCAAGATGGCTTTCCTGATACTTATTGCCAGTATATTACCTAAGATACTCCAGCTGTTGCTTAGTGCCAACCTCACTTAATATGAACAGCTCTATAACAAACACAGATCCTTGATGCCATAACTACTGTCCAGTACTGCTCCTTTTTGATCAGAAAGGCAGGGAGTTTGCTGATTTTGCAACTGATTTGGACTTGTTGGCAAGGAGATTTTGAAACATTTTAGTAATTATTTATAAATATGCTAAACATCACAGCACAATTCCTCTGCATTGCTATAGTGCCATTGCAGTAAGATTAATTCAGTTACTTTTGCTTAATCAAACATTATGCATATATTAGATCCATTTCTCATTTCATGGGTGTTTTACATTGATGCACCCCACTGAGTTTGTAAAAATTAGATTTAGCTTATTGGTAACAAAGCAAATTAAATTAAAATTAGGGTTGTCCATCTACCCCAAATGCATTAATTCATTGGCCTATTAGACAATTACTAGCACATTCAACTTCCTCTATACAGGACTCAATGTTAATACTTAAAACAACTAACCACACAAATTCCTCTGATCTCATACCCAGGTTCATGGATATCTTGACATAGAATGGAAGAACAACAATTTTACAAAAAAAATTATTCTTGAGGTTAGAGAATGAATTATACCAGTGGAGTTCCATATAGGTAATGAGTATGGATCTAATCCTATTTGCCTTATCTAGGCATGGCTCCAATTAAAAAAAAATGGCATGAGTTTTTCCTGTACAGGTCTAGACCAAAACATGGTATGTGCTTTTCATCAACTGTTGGCATAAATACTGAGGTGGAAGGTATGGTAAGAGGTTCAGTATAAGAGCTGAATATGGTGCTAGTCCAGCAAAGAATCTAAGCACGAAGGGCAAGGTCTTTACTCTTCTCAGGCTCCTTTATACTTTGTGAAGTGCCACAGTGGGATAGAGAAACCTTAAACACTTTCAAAACGATCCTGGGAGGATTTCCTTGTGCAAGCCCAGTGGAACTGTTGATAAAAGCTGATTCCCAAAGGACCTCTTTTGAGCCCAAGGCTTGAGGACATACAGGACAAACAGAGTTAACATGCAGTCTGCAGCCCATAGTTACAGCAATATCTGCAGGCTCCTATCAAGCCTAGCAACCCTAGTCTGTCTAAATAACAGCAGGTGTTTCTCCAGTTACTTACTTAAGCAGGCCTGGATCAGGAAGCTGCAATAACAGCTTAAAACCTCATAGGCCCATGCTTGCCCTAATATGTTATCTTGGGCTGTCCTGATTAG